CACACAGCCTGCCCAGCAGACCCGCAGGAGACCCAGACCAGCATGGGGAAAGGCGACGTGAGCCCCGCCACAACATGCATCACCTCGAGACTCCAGCAGGATGCCACACACAGCACAGAGCAAGGGGCGCTCTCCTCCGAGACCACAAAACGTCACCAAACTGACCAAATGCTGAGCCAAAAAGTAAGTCTCAATCACATCCAAGGACTGAAATTATACAAAGTATGTTTCTAATTAGAGTAGAATTAAGCCGGAAATCAGTAACAAAAAGATAATCAGAAAGATCCCAACTGCTTTTAAGTTATCCAGTATAATTCAAATTAGCATATTGGTCAGAACAGAAATCAGATTAAAATTAGAAAATATTCTGAGTTGAATAAGGAAAACCCAACATCAAGACTTAGGAGATCAAGCCAAATCCAGAGGGCAACATGTGCAGCCTTAAACGTATCTATTCAAGAGCAAGACAGGATGAAAAATCAACGATGTCCCTATTCATCTTAAAAAGTTTGAAAAACAGCAAATAGAAAAAATAAAGAACAGTCATCACTGTCTTGAATGTCCTTGAATGACAAGCTCCTTCCAAGAGCAAAGGAGGAGGGAAACACCAGGACCAGCCACAGGGATGAAGACGGGGACGACGGGCACTCTCAGGCCTGACCGAGTTAAAAGCACAAAAGAGGGCATTTTAAACAACTCCATGCAAGAAACTAGAAAATTTAAATGCCATGGGGGCAGAAAATGCCTTGATAAATACAACTTTCCCAAGGACGAACAGAATACTGAATATTCCATGTCTATGAAAGAAACTGAATCCAGAGTGTAGAATATTCTAGTGGAGCCCCACCAGTCAATCCCTGTCACGCTGAAGGAAGACGTGATGCTCATCTTGCACAAACTCTCCCACAGAGTAGAAATGACGGTACCACCTCAACTGAGTGTCGATGTCAGCATGAGGCAGACAATACGACCACTCTCAGGAGCATGTCACAAGAAAGGGAAATTATCATCCAGTTTCTCAAGAATATAGGTACAAAAATCCTAAATTAAAAATGTGAATTAGGGGACGCCTGGGTGGCTCAGTTGGTTGAGCGACTGCCTTCGGCTCAGGTCGTGATCCCGGGGTCCTGGGATCGAGCCCCGCATCAGGCTCCCTGCTCGGCAGGGGATCTGCTTCTCCCTTTCCCTCTGCTGCTCCCACTGCTCGTGCTCTCCTGCTCTCTCTCTGTCAAATAAAATCTTTAAATAATAAAAATAAATTTAAAAAATTTTTTTTAAATGTGAATTAGGTTCAGCTGCATACGAAGAGGATAATACACACAAAAGTGGGACTTATTCCACAAAACCAAGGTTGGTCTCACATTAGAAAATCAATCAATATAACTGACCACATGAACAGAAAAAGGAGAAAAAAAATCATCCAGGGCAGACACATGATAAAACTCAATACCCACACGTGACCGGGAAATTCAACTAATAATAAAATGCAACTTCCGTAAGTTCTTAAGAAAGAACATCGACGTTAATCCAGAGCAGACATAAGCCCTGCTGGTGGATTACTGAGCACGTCCTCCGTGAGCAGGACGAAGACCGGGACAGCCACCGCTGTACCTACTCACCCACGAACTAGAGACCCATCGAGGCAAGGGGAAGAAACGGCGGTATAAAGATTAGGGAGAAACAGAGCTGTCATGACTTGCCAGCATGCACTTCTCTTTTCCTTCTACATGCTGGGACTTTTAAATGTCCACTTTCCATACGGAGGTAATTCTAACAGTCCCTGTGTGTCCGCAATTGTCATTACGATGGCTGGGGCTGGGGGTCAGCTGGGAGTTTACCTGCTCTGAGCAGGGCCGCCTGGAGGTCCCACCCACTGCAAGAACATCCTCCATGGCGTGGCAGGCTGTTCCACCACGGAGGAGCCATACCTGGTCTTGTCTGTGCTGCTGCACACGCCCCACCTGTTCTCGACGGCAGGGCACGGCCCCCACCCAATCCCCATGCAGGGTGATGAGAGTCGCACGTGCTCTGGGGACCAGTCCTACTCTCTTGGGATAGTCCGGCTCACTCTTTCCTGCCTATACACAAAGAAATATATACAAAGCTACCTTCACTAACAGACATCCACCAAGAGAAGAAATTCCTGTAGGTACCACCAATCCCCCACTTGTAAAAGCAATGACTGAAATAAACATACACTCGAATGCACGCTCCCTGAAGACAGTGACGTGGTCTGGTTCTCTGCTGTCCCCTCAACCTCTTGACCTCACGGTCTTCCTTTCTCTACCTGTCCTCACCACCGGTGACCTCAACCAGCAATGTGACGCCAAACATCGATCATACGCGGACAACTCCCTCCTATCTGCAAACCCCAACTCACCACATGTAACCACCTGTTCAACACCTCTTCGTGGGTATCATAAGCATCTCAAACATGTCCGTCAAATTCTTCACCCTTCCCCGAAACCTGTATTTCTATGTCTTGCGACACCTGCCGGTTCCAATTCGAGTTCTGGTTCCCGAAGCCAAAACCCAGCAAACACCTTACTTTCCTCTTTCTTCCAACATGAAGTTTCAACAGACTCCGTCGGTTGTACCCATAATCTGACCACTTCTTGAACCTTCTGTGATGACCATCATGGTCCAAGCTCGTACTACCCCTTGGTCTACATTCCTATTAAGCCTCTTAACTGGCCTCCCAGCCTCTGTGCATGCCCCTGTTCAATCCAGTGTCAGGTCAGAAACCAGAATGTTCCCATCACGAAGTATGTCACACACATCCTCCCTCTGCTGCTGCAGAGCCCCACTGGCCCAGGAGGCCTCCTCCCTGTGTCCGCAACGTGCTGGAAATGCCATGCCTCACCTCTGTCCCTGCCCGCCTCCCCGCCTGGGCCTTTCCCCACCTCACCCCACTGGCTCCCCTCACCTCCCGCAGCTCTCCAGGGCTCCAGGAGCATGACTCAGGCTCTCCAAATCCAGCCACCACCTCCTCAGGCTCTGCCCTACCCTCTTCTGGGGACTGAATTGTCTCCACAGCACCCGTCACCATCATCTAACACGTTCTCTGTTCTACTGTTTCCTTCCACTCTGACGTACACCCCATGAGGGCAGCCATGTCCCCAGTGTCTAGGACAAGTGTGGCCCCTGGCGCGCACTCACAAAGTGTTCAGTGGAAAGAGTAACTGCGCTGATGAACAAAGGCTGTGAATGGGTGGGAGAACCAGATGAAAGGGCCTGGTGCCCACAGAACTGCAGCGAGCAGAGCTCGGCCACTCAACTCTCCTGAGGCCCCTCCCCACTCGGGTCACAGCTGCACGCCAAATCCCTTGCTTACATTTAGAAAAACCGAATACATTCAGAGAGGAAACCTTATCAGTAACACAAGTGGAAAGCCAGCATCACTCATAAACGAGAGGGCATTAGAAAAAGTTACTCATCGTCACATGTCGGTGACTCCAAACTCTCTGAGCTTGCAGCCTACTGTTTCCTCGTTTAAAAGTGAGGTCACCAAAAGTAAGAAACGTTCAAGACCTATTATCAGTAAATCAACACACTGAAAGAACCAGATGAATCTTTTAAAAATTTAAAAGGGCAAAGATTTCTCACTAGGTAATCGAGTATTTATCTGATTTTAAATCCCCCATGCCTGCGCCACCTTACAGCCCACAGCATCGGTGCTCTGGACCAACAAACAACTTCGGGGGGACGGTGGCGGACGCCCTCGGGGCTGCGGAAGCCAGAGCGCCCGTGTCCCAGGGCCCGGCGGGGGCCCCAGCGGTGAGGGCGGTGGCAGGGCCAGAAGGGTGGGCCACGGGTTTTGCACGCAAGCTCGCTAGACACGGGAAGGCAGAGGAAGCCAGAGCGCCAACCCAAGCACCAGGGTGGCTGCCTGGACGGAGGTGGGAGACGTGATGACACAGAACAAAATGCACCAACGTCACTCAGCAGGACGTTGGTGCAAACGAGGCACCGGGGAGGGGGGGCGGCCCCCACTGCCACCACCATCCTGCAGAGCGCCGCGCACCTGCTCGCCACCAGTGGTCAGAAGAGACCCGCAAACATACTAACTGTGGGTACTGCTGAGTGACAGCCTCTGGTTTTGTGTACTTCCCCAAATCCCTACAATGAATACAAGCACTTCCAGAACAACCAGAAGAACTTCTATTAAAGGAAATGTCAAGTATCTCAAGTAAGACAGCAAGCAATGGGATATACCCGGACATCCAATCAGTGCTTCAAGCAATCCGCATGCATCAGAGAATTACAGCAATGCAAAAATATTTAAGATTTAAACTTATCTAAATGTTGGCTGCTCAGCTTGGTGATCTAATTTAAATATAATCCTTTCACACATCTGCCAACGACAAACCCCAACCACAGCTGATGTAGAAATGGATCGTGCCCTAGTCTTGCGCTGACGTCAGGACTCCCAGAGAAGTCTCTCCCTCATCTGCTGGCTTCTACAACATAACTTGTAAGTGTCCTCTAAGTTCATGGAATTTTGCCTGAAATGACTCTCCACAAACAACTCTGAAAACAATTCACTAAAAAGGTATGGAAATCAGAAAAGACCAGTAACACAGAGCCTCCTGAGCCCTGCCTCGTCCTGACCCAGCTCCGTGCCCCACCCCTGCGCTCTCCCACCTGCTCTGCGGACCTCCTGCAGACACGCACGTCTCCACTCTTTATGCACGGACATACCATAAGGAGTAAGGCGACAGCCCAAGTACAATCTGACATTGAAGAAATGTAGACAGGAGCTAGAGATCAGGCAGCGTGTCCCTATCAAGACAACACACTGACAAAGAAGACGACACGTCTCCCCTGCCGAGGGAGGAGTACGCCAGCATTAGATACGATGGTGAGGAGAAGAAGGGGAGAATTACTTCAATGAAAAGGAAGCTCTTTCACTAAAACAGGCAAAAAACAACAAAAGCCACTTTTTGGGGATGTGACCTTGGTGCCAGTCATGGGGCCCACAGCAGACAGCTCACCTGGCTTCAAAACCTCACCTCTATGAATTTCTGGAAGACGCGGTCACTCTGGTGAGCTCCGATCGTGACTTCCGGGACATAGATAGGAATGGTTGTGTAATTCAGCACCTCCAGCTTATTCTGAACCCTACAAAATAAGACAAATACAGATCACACTAAGCCATCAAAACAAACATAACAAAATAAGCTGTAAGGCTGATTTTTTTAAAAAATGCATACAAATAAATGCCCTTCATCCCCAGGCGGCCTCTGGACGCAAACCTTCATCCCAAAGACCATGAGGTCTGTGTGCAGCTGCTTTTCTGACATGACCTTCAGAACCTGAGGGAGAGTCTTCCAAAAGCCTGAGCCGCCACAGAGGACCACCTTTCGGGAATGGATGAGGTTTGGGAGACACTGTGCTTTACACACAAGAATAGCATCAATAAAACGCCACACCCCACGCCGCCCCCAGCGGTGCCAGGCACTTAGGCAACCCTCAGTAAACGTGCAAATTCAATGACTCTTGAGGGAAAGGCAGCCAATAACTCCAGTCCCCCCAGATTTACCACACAGCATCCTGCTGCCCTCCTGGGCAGATTCCAGGAGCAGAAGGGCCACGGGGAAGTCAGGAGCACGGGGTGGGGCGGGCCCACACAGGACGCCCAGGCGCACCCTCGCCTGGAAAGGTCTCACGCTCTGCCTTGCTCGGCACCGACAAATACAAATTATCAGATCTGCTCCTTGTTTCACCATTTTACTTTGCTGAACGCTAAAATATTTATACTGTGCTATGACTGCTTATTTCAAATTAAATTTAGTCTGAATATGACCACTATACTTGAAGATGAAAAGCATTTTGGAGGCTTTTTGAAACAAACATTTAAATAAAGTCTCCTTTCTTAAGGGCTCAAAACAAAGCAAATAATTACTTTAAATGACCATTTTCCCATTAATGAGTTATAATGGCAGAAGAAATTTTCTGTTTATAACGGTCCAAATGGAAGTTCTTTAAATGCATCTGGCTTTCAGCTACTTTGTGATAAAGAGTCCAGACCCACGTACCCACGGCCAGTGCCCCCTGGCAGCCGGGGCAGATGGCCATGGTCAGAACGCCCCGATCCAATCCGGGGCCGGTGCTCTGCAGGCCCCTCCCGCCAAGGACCGCGGTGCACGGAGAACCTGCGGCAGGTTGAACGAGAGCGGAGAGCAGGAATGGGCACGTCCTGCTTGTCACCGGTACAAACTGTGTCAGTCCTACATGGACTGATAATCTGGCAACAAAGAGCACCTGAGGAAATGCACCCGGGGAACTGTCTCTTCCCAGGTGCATCTCCACGATCACATTAACTGGCTACGACAGACGCACTCCACGAGCAGGGCTCGTTCTCAGCCCTCCCAGGAAGCTGTTCACACGACAGAGCTTTGTAAGCAGCGTAGATAATGCACAAGTACACGCCTCTTTGCTTTTAACAAACAGAATTATTCTCATTTTATAAAGATAATTTTTTAAAGTGATCTGAGCATAAACAATTTCCACTAAAAATGAAAATCAATGTTTTTAAATGTTGACAGGTATCAAGGTGGAGTATGATTGGTTTCCTCAATAGTTTGAAAAGCCTACGACATTCTGGGCCATCGGAGAGAACGTGCTGGCCGGGAGCTGGTGTGCGACGTGCAGAGCGCAGCGTCTATACCCCGTCGGGTGGAAGTACCATTTCCACGAAACCCCCAACACACCGTCTCTTTCAACAAATAGCTTCCAACTGTTTCTGAACATTAAAAAAATAACCTGCTGCAACTGTCTACGACTTGTTCAAACTTGGCTAAAGCGCTCTGTCAACAACACCCCATGAGCTTCCGCGGCGACTGCTGGATGAACCTATGGTGTCTTGTCTCCTGTAAACGCCGTCGTAACCTTCCATCAACTCGATTTACTCTAGATTGAAGATAAGTAAGGAACAGAGATGACGGGAAGCATTTTATGACCCAGGGAGCACAAAGCGGAGAAAGAAAACATTCTGTTCACAAAGCACTTAGTCTAATTGAGGAGAATTCAAATACTGGCTGAGGATAACATATCCTCTTCACATCATAAGCCAAAGCAACCGAAGAAGAAGATAAAGTGCAGCGGAGCCTAGTTTACAACACAAGGCGGTGTGCCGCATATTCTAAAAGAGTGAGGCAAGACAAGACAGAAAAAACACGTAGTAAATTTATGTTTTACGACTAACACTGGTTCCCAATTAACAGAATGTCTATCTTCGCTCCTAAAACATGTCCACAGTCTATCTGTTGGCTTGTCCTGAACTACAAAGCTCTGTTTGAACACTACACTCTGATACCAAACTCGTACCCACAGACTTTGCAGCCCTGGGATTTCCTACAAGGACTTGTTCTAGAGTCACAGGAAACAGAAGCGTCCGTGATGAAGCAAACGGGGTGAGCGGGAGGGTGGTCCAGGCTCTGGGGAAGCAGGAGGAAGGGGCTCAGAGCCCCGCACACGCAGAGCCCGGCCTGGTGACCGGAGTCATCAACCCAGGAATGGAATGGACCAAGGTGGGTGCCAGCCAGGAAGTTATGGAGTATGCATAGGAACACACAATGTTATCCAGGTCGACAAATACAGTCCCTGTCTCTCAGCATAAGCGCACACACACATAATCACACACCGGCACATGTAACTGAAATGTAACAAAAATGCTCTAAACCAATAATCTGGTCAGGTTCTAGACAAAATGAGTATAACTGGTAAATGGCATGTTTACAGTAATTATCTTAGAAAATTGGTCAAAATTTTCATTTGAGTCCCCCAAATTAAGAAATGACACTCACATGAAAATAAACACGATTACCATTGCACACTGTTGTGAAATATCCGGGGCGCAGGGGCAGGGGAGCGATGGACCAGGAGAAGGAGCGGACAGACCATTTACAGCAAAATAAAACAGTGAATTGAATGCTATAATCTGTAAACTTCAAGGGAATTACTGAATCCTTCTCTATGCTCTGGCAAAAACACAACTAAGTAACTACTAAAATCATGATCTTGGTGAAGTGGAGAGAGGGTATTCGGGGGGTAAAGGGTGAATATAGCCAGACTTAGACATAAGCTAGGATTCTTAGAAAATTACTGGGCAGGTGGGGGAGGGAACAGATTCAGGAAAAGGGAGAACCAGATGATCAGGACTCTGAATTACTTCTCAGAAATGAAATTTGGATTCGTGAATAAACAAAGGTAGGCCACTGAAGGATCCAGAGTGAAGGGAAAACAGGGCCACTGTGACATTTTTATGAAAATTAGCCTGGTGGGTGTGTTGCACACAGAACAAGCAGTAGGAAGAAATAATTAATGGCAGGATAAAGATCAAGAATGAGGGGATCAAACCCCAAAGGCAGCAGAAGTCATGAAAGAAGAGGAGAGGGGGAGAAACCACCAGGGACAAACACAAGGGCCTTAGTGTGTTACTTAGGGTGTGCGGGTAAGCGGGCCGCCCGGGGAAGGGAGGGTCCTGGCAGCATGACAGCTGAAGGAGGAGGAGGTGACGAGCCCACCAGGATGGAAGCCTGAGCCGCCGAGAGGGCAGGCAGCACGGTTTGCAAGCTGGACCGCAGGCAGGGTCACGTCGGCCCCTCCGCACCGTGCAGGTCAGTGCCCCTGAGCTGTGGCTTCCCCAGCTGTAAAGTGAGGGGAACGCCCACCGGGCAGGAGTGCCTTGGCATCGGGAAATGTTTCTGGAACACTCTCTGGACACAGCGCTGACCTGTAACTGTGATTCAGGCTAACACCTCGAGGCTTCAGACCTAGAGGCAAACACTACACGGCTGCTGGAAGAAAGGGTACAGGGTCTCCAGCAAGGGTCAGAACGATACCACATATAATCCCATTTACGTAACTTTACGAAAACATTTACATCCATCAGCATCTAGACAAAGTGAACCAGAACTTTCAAGAACAGAGACTTCCAGTTTCAGCTCCAATGAGGAAAGAGCTTGAAAGTCATCACTTCCGTCCTTACAATAACAAGAAAACATCGCTGCAAATCAAATCCTCGTCCCGGAAGAAGAGCTCTGACAGACGTCAGCACGCGGATGAAGGGAGGAAGTGCGATGCTCTGCCCCGAGGTCCCCGCACCACCCTGGAGGCGGCAGGGCCATGGGAAAGTGCACCGAGATGACTGCACGTGGAGCCCGGAAGCCCCACAGCCACGACAACCACGCTGCGAGAAGTGCAACTGCTCTGCTAGGGGAGAGGAGCATGGAATCATCCAGAAGGCTCAGGCACAGCCAGAGAAGGCAGGAAAACAAAGAACAAATGCAACAAATGTAAAACCTTCCGTGACAAGACACAGTAAATGTTAATCCACATACGTCAACACTCCTTTTAAATGTAAATGGTCCAAACACAGCAATTAAGACACAGAGACTGTCAGAACAGAGAAAAACACAGGACCAAATCTACATTGGCTACAAGACACCCACGGTAAACAGACTCGGGTTCAAAGGAAAGGGATGGAGGAAGACGCCTACGCGAACCAAAGCTGGAACAGCACGACCCATTCAGACACGACAGACTGCAGAACAAGAACAATCATGAGGGATGAAGTGGGGCGTTCTGTAGTGAGGAAGGGGTCAATTCTCCACCAAGACCTAACAACCCTGAACACCTAACAGCAGAGCATCAAAGTACGTGAGGTGAAAACACACGTCAGCGGAGAAAGGGCCACATGCTCCCGTGGCCGGAGACCTCGCCGCCCCCTCCCTCGCTGGCAGAGAAGCCTGGGGCACGTAGATGAGCTGAACACCCCCACCCGCAATGCAGCCTGGTCTCCCCGACACTGACAGAACATTCCACTCAACAGCAGGATGCGCATTCTTCTCACGCTCGAGCAGAACGTGAATCCAGAAGGAAAGCATGCCTGACCACGTAAAGCCCCTGCGCCCATGCAAACGAGGAGACATCACACGCAGTGTCTTCTCAGATCACAAGGGCAATTAAACAGGAGGGACGCCGACAAGCAGATGGCACGTATGATGAAGATCTGAAATCGAGCATCTAGGCCTCTGAAAAATAGTAATAATAAAAAGTAGAGCAGGAATCAGACTGAAAACAGAAAAATAGAGAAATTCAAGAAAACAAAAGGCTGTTTTGTTAAAAAGATCAATAAATGTGAAGAGAAAACTCACAAAGGACAAATAAATGAGCAATAAAAACACACTGAAGTTCAGTGTTTATAAAATGCAAAGTAAAGCCAACACTTCTCTTTGGCATCAGAATCACAAGTTTCTGTCTGCTTTTTGTTCGAACTACATGGTCTGTGTAGGACTTTGGGAAGGTGGTCAAGCTCACAGCATGTGTTTTCCAGAGAACAGTTCTCATACACGGAGAGTTGTAAGGTGTGTGCACACGCCCTCACCCCATGCACTCAGCTTTACTCCCAACGTGGAGCAAAATCAGGTGCAACGTGCTGGAACCACATGGGGACCGGACCTGACCCTGTGAGGTGAGCGGGCGTGACTCCGACCTCTAATCCACTGGTTTCCACCCACCTTTTCTGTGTTCTCCACCCCGCCTCACCCACGTTAAATCTCTCACCGTCACACTAATTCACTTTTGTACATTCTCCTACTCGCCGATCCTGTTGGAATCCAGAACCCTGCCTACTCCCTGCCGGCCCCTGGGCAGCTGCAGCAGCGGGAAAGCGCTCCCTCCACTGGACGTCAGGACCGCCGCGCTGCCTCGGTCCGTCCTCCCCACGCCGACGCCTAGACAATGCTTCCTACCTTTCTTCCCTCCTCAGACCTCCAACACATCCTTCCCCCACCCAACTGCCACTGTGGTTGATGACCCACTTCCCATCACTAGGAAGACAGATCGACCGTCCGAGAACGTCCACATGCCCAAGGCACATCCCCACTCGCCCGGCCCCTGCTCACACCCCTCTACCCCCAGGCCATGCCTTCGGAGGCCACCCCAAAACCATAGGATCTTTCCTATGAGCTGCTATTTCTTCCATCTTAAGCATACAACAAAAAAACTGCTAAAAATGACTAAAATTTTAGGTCCTACTTTTAATAACTAAATCAATAGGTCCAACTTGAGAAATTATTGAAATACGTGGACTCTATATGTGCGGACATTTGGGTGCATCCAAGCATATCAGTCATACCAAGAGAAACACTGTGAGCTAGCAAACTCCCCAGCACATAGAGGAAGCTCTGACCCTTGGGGCCCAGCTCTGGCAGAGCTTATCCAACGGGCTGACAGGCAGAATGGTCACCAGGCAGGATGGACACCATCCGTGGACTCAACACTCAGACTGGTGCTCCTCAAACTGATGCCGCCCGGCCACCGTGTGTGTCCAGCATGGCGGAGCAGAGGCCGATGCTGAGCCTCCAGCACGGCCCGTCCCTGGGGACAAATGAGGAAGTCAGTAACACAGGGTCCCACCCTTCATGAAGGGGCAGCCACCGACCCTCCCAGGAAACTTCCATTTCCTGGGTTCAGATGTGCCTTCCTGCCCAAGACCCGTCTGCCAGAAGCCCAGCTCATGTGCATGTGGAATGCCCTTCCACGGTCCTAAACAGAGCAGGCCTGAGACTGCGGTCTCCCTCGGCTGGGAGGGCTCAGTGTCTCACAAACGCTACCTTAAGGCTGGGGCACCACACACTGGGCACCAGGTTACAATGTGATTTATGGGGAGCACCAGCCTTCCTTCTGGAGGTCAGAACTTGAGCAGTTGCCAAGGCCAACATGACCAGCACCCAATAAAAACTCTGGGCACCGAGTGTCTGATGGGCTCTGTGGGCAGACACTGCCCAAGCCCATGTTACTGCTTTTCTCGTGCCCAACGAAGCAGCTCATTTGGCACGTCCCTCCTGCGAGGGAGGGAGCCTCGATCACCTGCGCGTGGACTGCTCCAGATTTGCCATGTCTTTCTCCTCACTGACCAGCTAGGTATCCTTGCTGATTCCCTGTGAGAACCTTAGCCATGAGCACAACCACCTGCTGTGATTCCTGAGTCCTTCCAGTGAGTTCCCGAGTGTGGGGTTGCGCTCAGGGCCCCTCAAAACACATGGTATACTGAGTTGAATAGTGTCCCCCCCCAAAATTCATGTCCACTTGGAACCTCTGAATGGGATCTTATTTGGAAACAGGATCTTTGCAGAGAGAAGTTAAAATGTGATCACAGGGGACTGGCATGAGTCCTAATCCCATGACTGGTGAATTTATAGCCAGAGAGAAATGTAGACAGAGACACAGACCCACAGGGAAGAACGCCCTATGAGGACAGAGGCAGAGTGGGAGTGATGAAGCCACATGCCAAGGAATGCCGAGGTACACCAGCAGCCACCAGAAGCTGGAAGAGGCAGGAAGGATTCTTCCTAGAACCTGAAGAGCAGGGTGGCCCTGCCAACACCTGGACTTCGGACTTCCAGACTCCAGAACTAGGAGACTAAACTTCCGCTGCTTTCATCACCCCCAGCGTGTGGCTGCTTGTCACGGTAGCCCCAGGGCACTCACACACACGGTCACCGGCCTGATGCTGCCTGACCAAGGAACTCATTTCATGGCCCAGGAGGTGTGGCAACAGCCCCACACGTGAGACACTCACTGTCCTGACACAGCCGGCCTGACAGAACAGCGAACGGTCCCGTGAAGGGCGTCAAGGCCCTAGCTGGAGAAAGCACTCTGTGGCGTGTTTGCGAGAGTCGGGGCGCTGCTCAACAAGCGAACCAGCAACAGACTGACAGCCATCTCCCCACCATCCTGGGCCCGGGGGCTGGAGGACAAAGTGCCCAGAGGAGATACAAGCAGGAGTTTTGATTCTAAATCCTCTAAATCTGGAACAGTGCTTGGCACATGGTGGAAGCAAAATATCTGTTGAATTAATATTGGAAATCAATTAATTGTCAGACTGGAGAATGCAAGAGCCTGTTTGAAGGGAATAGGAAATATACCTCATTATTGGTGGTACCGTTAACACCTAACTTAAAATAGAATTCCTTCAAAATTCTCTAAGTTTCTACAGCAGGCGAGGGACTGCACTCAAAACTCCAGCCCCTCGTCCTATCTGGCCGGTTCCCAAAAGCACGGAACTTACAGCATCCGCAGATGGTGAAGAGTACGGTCATCCTGCTCGAGCCACGGCCCTTTGTCATACTTGAGGTATTCAATATCCTCTACCACCTGAGACAAAAACAATTCCAATTTAATGCAGAGTCCCATTCTGAAAATTTAAAGGTGATAACATTTTAATCCAGTATGAGCCACAGGTATCTAGCAGGAACAATCACCGAAGTCAAAAGGAAAGGAAGTCGGACAGATGGCCTTCAGTGCAGAAATGAGATTGGGTGCTGACCCTCAGTGTGGGCACCCAGCCCAGTGGACACTGGGGTCAGGGGGTGGCGCTGACCCTCAGTGTGGGCGCCTGGCCCAGCTAACACATGGGTGGTGTAGAAATTACATGGGAGGCTGGGAGAAGCAGCACAGGACAAAAAAAGACTCAAGACCAGGGGACCCAGTATTAGTGACAGACTACTCATTTCCTCCCCAGGGACTTCATTCCAGAACACAAGACCTAGCCACTGAAAGCAAGAAGAGAACAAGAAAATTGACACATTTCCTAGAGAGCTCCAATAACCTGTTTCCAGCCCCCCACACACAGCCTGCAGTCTGACCTCCCGGAGGGACAGTCTTTTCAGATGCATTCTGCCCCAAACACGCCAAACTCAGGGTCCTCTCCTAACTTTCAGGAATTTTGAGTATAAACTCAAAACACAACATGGTCTTACAGAGCAAATGCATTCTTCTACTCAGACCCCTGGCATCTGAACAGACTATCAGGGTGTGAAAACAGCCTAAACATAAACACATCCACACCACAGAAACAGAAGGACATAGAATGTAATCCATCCGAGCGGAATGGGCCGAGGGCCATCGTCAGAGCTATCCCGGAGCCGGACTGGGAAGTGGCCTCCGGTCCTCAGGGAGTATGCTCCTCTCTGTGGAAAAGACCTGTCTCCGTAGCTTTCTCCTCCTCCCACGCCCAGAGCCGGCCGGGCAGTCAACTCCGCAGAGCCGTTTCCTATCATCTCCTAGGCCTCAACCCCACGTCATAAAACCGGCATTTTCTTCTAGAATTTTTATACCCTTTGTTTTGCTTTTTAGTAATTTATGATTAATATATAATATATGGGACATTTTTTTGCCTAATGGATGATCCATTGTCTCAACGCCATTTAAGAAATAATCCATTTTCTTCTACTTCATTTTTCTTATTCTTTAAAGTGCCGCCTTTACCAAAGCCAAGTCACACACACACTTGTTTTTCCACTCCCTGTTCTGTTCCATTCCTGCATTAATACCTCAGTGCTTTCATCACCATAATTTTGCAATATGTTTTTGTATTTGGGAAGGCAAATGTTCCTGCATTATCCTTTTTCAATTTTTTTGGCTATTACTCGTTAAGTTCTCTTGAAAACTGCACGAAGATTGACTCGAATTTTACAAAAGGCACTTACTAATGTACCTTCCACAATTTTAAGATCCTAGAAACTGAATTATTTAAATGAAAATGAAAATCAAAATCTCACTGGGCTGCCTTAGTACCTCTTTTAGCTTATGAAATACAGACATTTCTAAGACCAGTAGGAGCTGAACTGATTATCTGATTTACAAGAACCTTATATATGAATCAAATTTAAAAATAATTATAAACTTTTCAGCCCATTTCTTACCTTTTCTGCATCTTGAGCTTCCCTTGCACTATACTGTAAAACCTCACATTTCTCACTGTAAGAAAAGGCAAGAAGAAATTCAATGTAAATTTCCAAGCTTATACTAATGCACATGAATACATGACAGTAAAGTCTACCGCTACAAACATTAAAGCTGGCCATTCTTTGAAGGGGACAATGTGCTGCTCCCGTGGCCTCAATGGCTGAGGAGGGCCTGCTAGCTCCCGACTGGACAGTGATGACAGCAGGTGTGTGTCCCGACTTCCCTTCTGGCTACCCCCCCGCCACCCCACGGGCATGAGAGACCAGGGGCTGAGGGGGGCAGGGCGCATGGGGTCACCGCCGCCGCCGCAGGTCCTTTACCAGACAGGACAAAGGCACCCAGTGCCTCACCAAGACGTGGGCGCAGAGCAGCCAAGTGGTGGAGGAGGAAGGACGGGCACTCGAGCTGCTAGAATCCAGGAGACAAACCGACTCCGCAGCAGGAAGGCAGCAGCTCAGTTCCCTTAGTCCTTGGCCCTTCGTCTGGACACTGAAAAATCATAGCTAGGTCCCGAAAAGAAGGGGACAGCAGGATGCTCTTTCCAGCACTTCTGCCCATGCCCCCACCACGTTTGACGCAGACAGCTGGCTGCCCGCCCGGGAGACAACTGGAAGCCAACAGACGGGTAAGTCTGCACCTGACAAATGAAGAGGCTGCCTCTGCTACCACCTCCAGACCAACCCGTGGGAGACCTGAGGCCTCAACGCTGGCCAGAGAGGCCAGCGAGGCCGCCCAGACTGGAGGCCCATCACTGCAGAAACGTCTGACCCTCTTCCAGCAAAGGGGCCAGCAGAATGTCAAGGACAGACTACTACTCCCCCCGGGGTCACCTGCACGGCACACACGAGGATTACACAAGGAACACTGTCTCGTTTAGGAGTCTACAGCACAGCACCCCCTACTGATGGGGTGTAAATCCATAGGGAGTCCAAGACTTCACAAGCTATGCTCAACCTGAAATCCACATCTGACCCTCCACAGTGGTACCCAGCTTCTCCAACCACGAACCCCCGTCAGCAGGCCACAGCTTAATGAGCTCAGTGCAGCTGAAGCACTTGTATGAGTATCACTGCTGTGGACCCATAAAACCCCCAGCTTCTTAGGTGCTGTGATTACAGACACGCCTGTATCAGACACTCAAAGGAAGTCATCCGACTGGATGACAGTCTCTCGCTGCAGCCAGATCACTGCATTTCCTGTCTCACTAAAGACACATGAAAACGTCAGAAACCACAGGCACAATGACGATGGATCCAGAAAGCCAGAAATCCGCCCTCGTGGCTGGAGCACACGCTGCCCCTCATGCGAGAGCCCAGCATAGTCCCCCCCAAGGGCCCTGCCTCCCACCGTTGCTGAAGAGAAAGGCACAAAGGGCAGTGATCTCCCCCCACAAGCCACACGGAGTCCGACGTAAACCACGTGTGTAGGAGACAGAGTCGTGGACACTCCCTGATGATCGGGGAGGCCGGCTGGCCCGGAAGCATCACTGTCTGCCACACAGCAATGTAAGTGCTCACCATTTGGCTTCCCTGGTGTAGCAGTCACAAGCATGAGCACGACAGGTCAGGAAAGCAGTGACAGGTGCCTCCGGCGCACAGAACAGCACACTTCCGAAGCCCCGCCAGGCGGCAGGCGCTGCGTGGGTGTGCAAGGGGACAAAGACAGGACTCCAGACCATCTACTGAAAACAACTTACAGAGCCAATTTCATAGCCTAACGTTTCCATCTTCCGTGTGACTCAATTCAACGAACATTTATTTTCTGGGCGCCTATAACAAGCAGCGTCCCACAGCCAAGCCTCAGTAACAGACAAACTGACAGAGGACACAGGGCACAGCGACCCCTCATTCCCACCGGCTTGTCTGTGAAGGGAGGCCGAAACAGAGGGTGGCCAACAAGGGTGTCAGAGATTCAGGGACACCGTCAAGGCCTAAGGAGGGAATTCAGAGCCACCTGATCCCCCAGGCCCACCTCTCCCAGGAACCGCCGGGCCTCCCGGGAACAGCAGTGCTGATGGTGACGTTTACAAACAGAGCAGAGTAAATGTCTCTTCACGAGTGAATACACGGAGGTTTGCCAAACCCAGCCATAGCTCAAGCTTAAATACTTCAAAATCAAGGTAATGAAGATAAAAAACATATTCTCCAACAATTTTAAGCATAAATGTTGACAGAGTCAGAAAATACATATTCCTATGGTAGTTCACTGTGCCTCCTAAAATCTCTCAATACGACTCTGGCCAAAGCCGCACCGTTCTTCACGCGTTCACAAAGGACACATAACAAGACAGCATCCCGGTCATGAAAGAAGAGCTGACACAAGAGAGACCAGCTCGGGTGCAGACAGGCATTCAGAGCCCCTCGGATGGCGGCCACCAATCGTACCCAGTAAATCCGCTTTGCTTCAAATACTGACATTCAAGCTCAAACACACTTATTTAATTTTGATTTTATTGCTAAATTACTAACATTCTAACAATTTTATCTTCTAAGGTTAGCCGCTATAAATATATAATATGTAACTAAATGACTTTAAATAAACAGACCCAGAAAATCTAAAACTGTTTCTGTGGGGAAACACCTCCTGAATTCTAAAACACAAAGACTTATAAACTTTAGATAACCTATTCATGATAGGTTTCTTAAAATTTCATGTAAAAATTGTTAGTTCTAGTCAAATTTCCCAGTGAATTTCCAAGAGAAAACCTCAAGATGCAAGTACATCACTGAGCTGAAGCAGGATTCTGGTCTACAATCGAACACTTACGTAACACAGGCTGCACAGAAACTTTCACGTAGGTGTCCTTTTAAATGTGACAAATGACCTCTAATGTAAGGGTTTCCGCAACTCCACACAGCTTGAGCTATGACAGCAGACAGACCATATATGTTCAGAAGACAGAGCTGACACAGCAGGACCACGAGGGGAGACACCAATGCCCGCGGCATAATGAGTCTCTGTGGCAGAAGAGCGCATGACCTACAACTTTTAAAAATCTATACTATGCTATTCATTTGGAAAAATCAAATTAAATCCCACACAGACATTCACAGATCCATCCACTGTTCTCATCATAAAAACTGCTGAAAGCGAGCTCCATTAGACTCTCCTGAAAGCAGGCGAGGGGACGGTCCCCAGCCGGGAGGCCAGCCCGCGCACGGTGTCTTCAGGTGAGCACGCTACAGTCTGCAGCGCGACCATCGGCCGCGGAAAGGTGCCCGCTTCTCATGGAGACAAGTGCATACCCTCGAGCCTGTCCTGTTTGCTACCGTGTGCTACACGTGTTACTTGAGAAACACACACCTACCCGAAGCGCCTCTTCTTCCCTTCACCTTGGTCTGCCCGGTGCACAGCGAGACAGGACTAGCAAAGCAAGAGCGCCGCCATCGGCCATGCGGGGACATGACCAGGGCAGGTATCCGTGCCGGAACAGAGACGAATAAATCCACACCGCGGCTGCTTACGAGCGCAGCAGCACGACTCGGTGCCCACTGCCGACCGACCCAGCCCCACAAACACGGCCAGACACTCCGCTCAGACGTGCACTTTTCCCTTTCAGGTGGTCGATGCTGGTGACAAAGAAAGCAAGCAAGCACCCTGGAAACTTGGTAAGGATTACAATGCAAAACAGAGGTCCATTTTCTCCATGTGGAAGTCTAAACCTCCTGACCCATGGTGGCGCGAGCCCCCTGGACTTGAGAAACATCCAACCCCCCTGGGAAGAAAGGAGGGGAGCTCATTCCCCCAAAGTGCGAGTCTCCACTGCTCATCAGAGGGGAACGCACTGTACTACTGGGACTTAGCAGAGGCCGTGAAGGCCCCATATTAAGTCATAAGAACACAACACTCCACACCAGAGCACCTCACATCCTCAGCGCTGCCTGCTACCAAGGACTCTGAATGCCAAGCTGGGGACGCTTCTCAGTGATGCACGGAACACCCTGACCTGTCTGATTTCTCAAAGTGGCCCGCGGGCAATGACACCGTGGGGAAGGACTGCACATCAACTCCCAGGCCGACAGCATTTGTGACGCTGTGCTGAAACTCATGGAGCTCAGCACACTGAGAGGGGGTGGGGGCACTGAGTAAGGAGCAGCCGTGTCCACCCTTAGGAACTGTCATGTTAGTCACTGCCAAGCAACGACTTCCGCACTCCGTGAGCAGCCACAAGGCCTGCAACCGACTACGGTGGTAGTTACGCAAAACGCAGAACAAACACAGTATCGCCTGCCCCGACTTGTAAAGATCTGAGCACTGTTCTGCTCCACACAGGGATTTGGCCAGAGAGAAGCGTGCTCGGCTGGGCTACCCAGCCGGGGAGGAAGCAGTTGGATGCTCAACACGGAAAGCGGCGCCCCCTGGGCCGTGCAGAGGCGCACGTGAGCCATGGAACACAGCACGTGAGGCTTCAGGAGCGAACTCCCACTGCAAATCAAGTCTGAGCAACCAAATGATGCAAGGGACGCTTACGATGGCCGCTAAACATACTTCGTGATCAGGAAGCCCTCGAGGAGAAGTTCTTGAAAATAACCTCAAAGTAAAGGAAAACCTCACCCTGATGACAAGTTGAATTCAGGCATTATTATCTAAAAATTCTATTTGAGAATTTGTCAGGACACCCTTTCTCAGTTGATGTTTTGTAGTCAGGAGATCTCAGAGTTTTGGAACTGACATGCGAGGGTCAACCATCTCTGTTTCTTCTGCTTATTCACGTATGTCTATACATTCTCCTGAGCATAGATTTACAAACCTGATTTTTTTCTACACCTCTGATCCTCTAAACAGGGCAGTACAACAGGAAGACAGGGACCCAGAGCTCACCGTGCTCTGTACTGCTGCTCGGAAACAGCACAAGAGAGAGGCAGGAATGTAAGCATCAACACTTATGGTTAAAAAAACTAGTTTTCAATTTACAAATCAAACTTTTCTTCCAAAGTTACTATAACTTTGTTTTTAATCACAATTTTATACATTAAAGTCTTAAACAAAGGCATGAGATTTTTGGGCATCAAGAGGCTTAAGTTTAAAACAGTTTAAGACAAGCTGCTAGAGATCAACAGAAGAGATCAAACACCTCCTTCCAGTG